CCCGTTACTGTATATTGTCTATTTTTCCATTAGTGCCCTTAACCAAATAGTCATATTTAAAATGTCCTGTTGGATAATTCCCGCGTCTGTGCTATATCTGAGTCTGGTTTTATCCTTCCTTTGTGTTTTTGCTTGACTTTTGGCATGCCTTGGAATTTTTTCATTGAAGCCACACATATTGTATTGGGTGTTAACTGAAGTAAATAAGCCTTTGGTGTGAATGTTTATGTTAATTTGGCTGGCAGTTGAGCTGTGTTCAATGTCTGTTGTAGATGCAGGTGGCAGAGACTTCAAATTCCTCTGTTGTCCTGATTGTTGTTTTTCCTTTTGACATTAGGCTTCCTTGGGTACCCTTCCTCAGTGAGAGCATGCATCTTGCAGCTCTTTGGGTTGTGATTCACTGTGATTATTATCATGGAGCCCTGTTAGTGTGGTAAAGATGAGAGGAGGGAATATGTTCTCTACTCTTGTACTTAAATTTCAGTCTTTTAGTGGACGTGTGTCTCTGGGCTATGATGTTTACAAGTGTTTTTCCATTGGTATAACTTTTATTTATTTTTTATCCACTTATGTGAGACAGGAAGGCTAGAGAGGGTAAAGTGGGAGAAATGTCCTTTTATAGCTGGGATAAGGCTATGGTAAAGTCTTTTTATTTGAAGAGTAAGCCTTTATTATGGAGTATGCTCTGGGCATATTTCACAATAATTACTTCCCCCTGTCAGAATCACAGGGGATCTTTCTCAGATCTTTACTGTGAGAACCTAGTGGAGTTCCTGGAGGTAAACACTGAAATATAGAGATCCCTCTAAAACTGTGGCCTCTAGGAGCTTCTCACTCTCATGTAAATACGAACTCAGCCTCCAGGAATGTGTCAAAATTATTATTTAAGTGTTCTTTTTTTTTTTTTAAAGATTTTTATTTATTTGACAGCGAGAGAAACAGCGAGAGAGGGAACTTCCACAAGCAGGGGGAGCGGGAGAGGGAGAAGCAGGCTCCCCACTGAGCTCAATCCCAGGGCTCATGACCCAAGGTGAAGGCAGACGCCCAACAACTGAGCCACCCAGGCTCCCCTATTTAAGTGTTCTTAACCATTTGTGATTCCAGTGGCTTCTGCTCCAAATGAGCAGATCTTGGTTATCTTTTCAGATTTTGAATTGGTAGTTTGTTCTGTAATTGACTATTCTAATGTGTCACAGAAAGTCTTTGATTTTCATTTTGTTCATTTTTTGTTGTTGTTATAACAGTGGAAATGACAGTTGCTAAGCTCTTTACTTGTCAGGGTTAAAACCAGAAGTCCTACAATTGATTTTTATATATTTATCTGGTATTTTACAACTTTGCTAAATTTACCTTTTAGTTCTAGTTAGCCTTTTTGTAGAATCCATCTAATTTTCTTTCTTTTTTTTTTTTTTTAAAGATTTTATTTATTTATTTGAGACAGAGAGAAAGAGAGAGAGAGCACATGAGAGAGGGGAGGGTCAGAGGGAGAAGCAGACTCCCTGCCGAGCAGGGAGCCCGATGCGAGACTCGATCCAGGGACTCCAGGATCATGACCTGAGCCGAAGGCAGTCGCTTAACCAACTGAGCCACCCAGGCGCCCGAATCCATCTAATTTTCTACGTAGACAGGTCATCTGCAGATAAAGATAGTTTTACGTGTTCAGTCTGCATGCTTTTTTTTCTTTCTATTTCTTGCCTTATTGCATTGGCTAGAACATCCAGTACAATGTTGAATAGAAATGATGAAGTGGATGTCCTTCCACATTGTAAGGGGAAGCATTTAGATTCTCAATAGTTAGTATGATATTAGCTGTATGTTTTTTGTAGATGTCTTCTTTCAGGTTGAAGAAGTTTCCTTTTATTCCTAGATTACTGAGACTTTTTTTTTTTTTCAGGAGTAGATGTGTTTTGTCAAATCAGTCAGGGTATGTTATACTTTTTATAGATTTCTGGTGTCAGTTAATGCTTTCTTTAAGATATTTACATTTATTTTTATAATTGAGATTGGCCAATAACTTGCTTTTCTTGGGCTTCTTAAAATCAGATTTTGGCATCAATGTCATGTAAACCTTATAATAATCTCAATTCATTTAGTCTTCTTATATTACCTGGAAGAGTTGGCATAATATTGAAGTTTTAGTACTTAACCAATGAAGCCTTTTGGGTCCAACTTTTTTTTTGGGGGGGGGAGTTTTTATTTTGTTTAATGGATAAAGGAAATATTAGAAATTTCTTATGCCATTCAGTTTATATATTTTAAGGCATTTGTTCATTTTCTTTAAATTTTAAAACATTTAGGATAATGTTTACAATATTCTATGAGCATTTTAATGTCTGTAGAATCTGTAGTGATTTCCTCTTTTTTAGTCTGTTGTTACTAGTCTTTTCAAAGGACCAACATTTTGTTTTGGAGTTCCTCATTAAGTTTTGTTCTTTATTACTTCCTTCTATTTTCTTTAGATTTATTTTTATTTTTTTTTCAAATTTCTTCAGATGAATGCTTATATTATTACTTTTCAGGCTTTTTTTTTTTTCTCATGTAAACAAGTTTCCCTCAAAATACTTACTTGAATGTATTCTACAAGTTTTGTTATGTACTTCTTATAAAATATTTTATCATTTTCGTCATTACTTCTTACTTGATCTATTGGTATTTATTAGTGTAATTTTAAGTATCCAAAAACATAATGAATTTTCACTTATCTTTTTGATTGACTTTTTGCTAATTACATTATTTGCAGAACATACTAGATTTCAAATTTTTGAAATGTGTTGCCCTCTACTTTTAGGATCAGTTTTTGGTAATTATCTGTGTATACTTGAGAAATTTATTAATTTTGAAATAGTTTTTATATTTGTCCCTTAGTTCAGATTTGTAATCATGTTATTCAGATATATTACATATTTGTACTAAATTTTTTATCTTATTTACAGGGATTTCATTGAAAGAGTTGTCTAAACTTCTGGCTCCAGCGTCTTACGTTTTGCTCTCTTTTAAACCCACTGTAATCTGCCTTCTTCTCCTACCATTTTATGAAAACTTTTTTTCAAGGTAATATTTACTTTCATGTTGCTCAATTCAGTGGTCAGTCCTCAGTCTTCATTTTATTTGACCTATCAGCACCATTTGACAAAGATGATCAGTTGTGCTTTTTCTCTACTCCTTTAAATATTTTATTTGGCTTCTGAGGTACCATGCTCATTTGATTTTCTTTTTCATCTCCTTGGATGTCCTTCTCAGGCTCTTCTGCTAGTTCCGCCTCATCTCCATGATCTGTAAATGTTGGAGTGTCCCTCAGCTCAGTCCTTAGACCACTTCTTTTCTTACGTACTCATCCCTCAATGAACTCATCCAGTCTCATGTATTTACTCTTGACTCTTAAATGTATATCTGTAGCATGGACTTTTTTCTTGAACTCCAGAGTTGAATGTCCAGCCACTTCCTTTTCATCTTCACTGGGATGCCTAATAGACAACATTTTCAAACCTGAGTTCTGCTATCCACTACCCTTCACCCACCAACACACATTAATCTGCTTTTTCAGTCTTCCCATCTCAGTAAATGGAAAGTCTATTCATGCAGTTCTTGGCCTGAAACCTTGAGTAATTGTGATTTCATATATCAATATCCAATGCAGTTTGTTTTGTCTTCAAAATGTACTCAAAAGCAGAGCATTTCTCACCACCTGTTGTAACCTTGCTGGTATTGAAGGATATTTTTGCTAGGTAGAGAATTCTAAAGGTTGGGAATTATTTTTAACACTTTGATAATATCTTTCCACTGTCTTATTATTTATGCTGAGGAGTCAGCTGTCAGTTTATTTTTTATAGATCAATATCTTATACTTTATAATATATTCATATCACAGGTTTCATAGTTACATGTACAAAAGGCAAGGAGTTACAGAGAATCTAATCAGAAGCTACATAATCCAACTACATTCAGTATAGTTAAAATATTGTTCCTGTTTTCTGTTTCGTCAGTTGATGAGAAAATTATAAGTTTTGTCCCAGGTGTGAACACTCACTAGAAATTGAGTCCTGAGCACAGTTCAGCACATACCTGTTTTTCTGTATCTCTAAACTGAAGTTCCATAGTGTTCCAAGCCAAATCAGCCAAAAAGAAATTAATGCATTTCTGTTTGGGTTTCACTGCTGATGAAGAAGAAATTCCCCAGTGTTTCAAAACCAGTACTCATTATCTGTGTTCCTATACTGCTTAAATGAACTTTCCTTTCAAACAGGTATATTTTAGTAGCAGAAGTTATTCTGTTTGGGTTTCTATGTCAGACAACAATAGTAAAAAGCTAGAGTATTTTCAGAACATTTTCTAGAAGTAGATTTAAAAAAAAAAAATCTGTGTATCTGCATCTGTTTATCAAACATCTCTAGGCCCAAGAAGAATTTTCCATATAGTTGAATGATTGATAGAGCTATCTGTTAATAAAAAGTTAGTTTGGGTCTTTGTGTCCAGTGATTCCAAGACTGTTTCAGTTTGAGTCTGGGTATTTGAGACTAAAAAGATTTCAGTATTAAAATCTATTGTAGACATGATATTCTCTGTTGAAAATCCAAAAGAATCAACAAAAAATCTAGAACTAATAAGCAGTTACTACAAGGTTGCAGGATATGTTGTTAATATACAAAATCAATTGCTTTTTTTTATACTAGCAATGAAGAAGTAGAATTTAAAATTGAAAACACAGTACAATTTATATTAGTACCCCCCAAAATGAAATACTTAAATATAAATCTAACAAATTATATAAGATCTATATGAGAAAAAGTACAAAACTGGTGAAAGAAATCAAAGAGGAACTAAATAAACTGAAAAATATTCTAGGGGTGCCTGGATTAGCTCAGTTGGTTAAGCATCCTACTCTTGATTTTGGCATGGGTCATGATCTCAGGGTCATGAGATCAGGCCCTGAATTGGGCTCTGTGCTCAACAGGAAGTCTGCTTGAGGATTCTCTCTCCCTCTCCCTCTGCCCCTCTCCCCTCTCTCAAATAAATAAATCTTTTTAAAAAAGAAAGACTCAGTGATGACAGATGACATTGTCAGCCAATCCCCATGCAGGAGTGAGGACATATCCTGCAAATCCCGTGGCATTCTTTGATGTCAGCACTGGCGGCCAGGAAGTTGGCCACATGAAGATGGAGCTCTTTGTGGATGTTGTGCCTAAGACGGCCAAGAATTTTAGACAGTTCTTCACTGGAGAATTCAGAAAAGGTGGGGTTCTGATACGATACAAAGGGAGCACCTTCCACAGGGTCATAAAGGATTTCATGATTCAGGGTGGGGATTTTGTTAATGGAGATGGTACTGGAGTTGCCAGAATTTACCGGGGGCCATTTGCAGATGAAAATTTTAAACTGAGACACTCAGCTCCAGGCCTGCTTTCCATGGCAAACAGTGGTCCCAGTACAAATGGCTGCCAGTTCTTCATCACCTGCTCTAAATGTGATTGGCTGGATGGAAAGCACATAGTGTTTGGAAAAATCATTGATGGACTTATAGTGATGCGAAAGATTGAGAATGTTCCCACAGGCTTCAACAATAAGCCCAAGCTACCTGTGGTGATCTCACAGTGTGGGGAGTAGTAGTCCAGAGCAAGACTGATCAAACCTTCACCTCTCTGCCATTGTAGGCCTTCCCTTGCTCTGGGTGGCGCTCTTGAGTAAGATAATCCGGATTGGCCCTTTGTTTGCTTCCCTGCCTGCTGCGGCCCTTTTTGATCAAGAGACCTTGGAAATGTCACAGATTCAGAACCCAAGATTTTCTGTTTAAGTTTTCAACTGTAAATAAAGTTTTGTTTTGGTAAAAAAGAAAAAGAAAAAAAATATTCTATGTTCATGGATAGGAAAACATAATATTTTCAGATGTCCATTCTTCTCAACTTGATCTATAGATTCAGTAAGTTCTAGTCAAAATCACAGCAAGTTATTTGTGGATATCAATGAACAGATTTTAAAGTTTATATGGGGAGGCAAAAGAATAGGCAACAGAATATTGAAGAAAAACTAAGTTGGAGCACTGACAGTACTTGACTTAAGACTCACTGTAAAGCTACAGTAATCAAGACAGTGTGGTGTTGGTAAAAGAATAGACAAATAGCAATGGCACAGAATAGAAAGCCCAGAAATAGACCCACATAAATATAGTCAACTGATCTTTGACAAAGGAGCAAAGGCAATAAAGTAGAGCAGAGACAGTCTTTTCCACAAATGGTACTGAAACAACTAGATATCCACATGCCAAAAAAAAAATTGCAACACAGATATCACACCTTCAAATTAACTCAAAATGGATCATATTCCTAAATGTAAAATGCAAAACTGTAAAACCTCTAGAAGATAACAGGAGAAAACCTAGATGACCTTCAGTATGTTGATGACTTTTTAGGTATAACAGCAAAGGCACAATCCACACAAGAAATAGTTGATTAACTGTACTTCATTAAAAATAAAGACTTCTGCTCTGCAAAGGACAATGTCAAGAATATGAGAAGCCAAACCACAGACTGGGAGAAAATATTTGCAAAAGACACAGCTGATAAAGAACTGTTCTCTAAAACATACAAAGAACTCTAAAAACTCAACAATAAGAAAACAAACAACCCAATTAAAAAATGGCCCAAAGACCTTAGCAGACTTCCACAAAGAAGATATACAGATGGCAAATAAGCATATGAAAAGATGCTCTACATCATAGGTCATCAGGGAAATGCAAATTAAAACAACAGTGAGATACCATTACATACCTATTAGAATGGACAAAATCTGAATCACTGACGACAAATGCTGGTGAGGATGTGGGCCAACAGGAACTCTTATTCATTGCTGGTGGGAATTCAAAATGGTACAGCCACTTTTATTAGACAGTTTGGCAGTTTCTACAAAGCCAAACACACTCTTACCATATAGCGCTCTGTTGTATTTACTCAAAGTAGTTGAAATCTTATGTGCACACAAAAACCTGCACACGATGTTTATAGCAGCTTTAATCATAATTGCCCAAGCTTGGAAGCAAGCAAAAATCTCTTCTAGGACTCTGGGCATTTGAGAGAAAAAAAAGTAGGTTGTTTAGAGTTCTAAATATATCTTAGAGTTGTAAGAGTCTTTTTTGACATCAGTGTTAAGAGTCTGCAAAAGAAGCTACCAGCTTTATTTCTAAAGTTTCTATTGCTTAAATGTCTGTTTTAGGTGTGGTTTATTGGTCAGTGATTTAAAGGTCTGATTTGAGAACTGATTATGTGTGTAGTTTTCTATTTTGTTTTTTTAATAGATCCCTGTGTTGTGCAGGGGAATATGGCTATTTTGGAAAGCATATGGCTGCAATGCAATTTAACAGCATAAGAATAGCCACAGTGTGCACTGGAAGGTTTTGCACAATCCTGTGTCTTTCAGGACTCATCATTGTCATTTGAATTGATAGGCTTGTTACATTTATGCTTCTGATTTTAGCATGCATTTTTTAAAGTCTGCACCCAATGTGGGGCTTGAACCCACAACCTTGATGAGATCAAGAGTTGCATGCTCCACTGACCAAGCCAGTCAGGCACCCCTTAGTATGCATTTTTAAATGCTGCTTTACAAGAAAAAAAGCTAAGAAAATAATTTGTCAACGCATATGAAAAGATTCTTCATTTAGACTACAGTGGAATTTCACTATATTTTCAAAAAATTTTCTTATTATACTCACAAATGTGGTTTTCCCAGGATGAGGCTTATCCATTGCACTCCAGATGTAGGAAAGTCGACCGCATAATTTGTGGTAGTGGGCGACACTGTGTTCGTGCTTTCCCCTGGTTTTTCGTTGTTGAAGATTTCAGTTATTTATGCTTTTGATAGTGTTTTTTCTATTTTTTTTCACGGTAGATTCTCTTGGTGTGTATATACTGGAGGGGGTTTTGTTTTTATTATTTAGGTTGTGGTGGGGTATTTGTGATAACCTGGTTTAGGAGCTTTCTGTGGGTGTTGTGTCAAGAGTACTTTATGTTTGGGATGCCTGGGTGGCTCAGTTGGTTAAGCATCTGCCTTCAGCTCAGGTCATGATTTCAGGGTCCTGGGATCGAGTCCCACATCCAGCTCCTTGCTCGGCAGCGAGCCTGCTGCTCCCCCTGCGTGTGCACTCTTTCTCTGACAAATAAATAAATAAAATCTTAAAAAAAAAAAGTAAATGGCTATTGCTCATATAATACTTTTCAGCCAGAAAATGGTGATTTGGAGGGCTGTATTAAATATTAATATTAATATTATTAAATATTAAATATTTAATTTAATAAGGGAAGGGAGATTAAGTGTAATTGAAAAATATTAAAGATTAAGTGTAAGTGAAAAAAAATCACGATTCAATTTTGAATTTATAGTATGGTAACTTTAAAATATATATTGTGAAAAAATACTGAATGTGAACACCAAAATGCTAATAGTAGCTTTTTATCGAGAACTTTTTACCCTTTATTCTCCAAACTTCCTTTAATGTACTTTTATAAAGAAAATATTGAAAAGAAAAAATGTATATTACAGTCCTTACCAGTTTTTAGATTTAAATACACTAAAAAGTTGATAAAGCATAAAAATTTCAGAATTAGTTTTATTATTAAAATGTTTACAGACTTTTATATGAAAATACAGAAAAAGATCTTTCTGATACTCAGCGACATCTTGCTAAGAAAAAGTATGAGCTACAGCTTACTCAGGAGAAAATTATGTGCTTGGATGAAAAAATTGGTGAGTTTTTTCCCCCTGATAAATAAATATATATATTTTAAAGTCTGGTAGAAAAACATGTTTTCTTCTCTTCAGTTATAACATAGATAAACTTGGAAATAGGCCCATAAATTAAAAGTTTATCAGTCAAGAATCATGGAAAAATGTGTTTTTTCTTTGATAGTAAAATTTTTTACTTATATTTAGGACCATAAATACTTAGATATGGCTTCATATTTTTCAGTGAAGAAATAGCTAAACAAAGCAATGACACTTTGTAAATTTGTCACGATCCCGTATAAATTTACAACTGTTCGTACTACATTGTGGCTTGTCCATAGTGTTGTGATGAAACATGGTACATGTCTGTATATTATTTTGATGGAAAGTGTACATATATTTGTATGCTATCACTTGGGTTCATAGAGAAAATTGTTTTTATAAAGTGTCCTATTTATGTTTCTTACCAGTGATCTCTATGAAAATGTGGTCATAACTTAATCTTCTTATAACTGTAAAGTAAAATTTTGGTCAGGACTATTAAAAAGCCCATTTTAAAATGGGGAATATTTTTTAACATTTTCTGTTTTGTAGTTAAAAAATGTCTGGCATAAACAATTAGGCGAGTAGAAGTGCTTTTTATTAAGATAGGAAATATTACAAGAGAACTATAGAAGGGGAATATTAAAGAACTCATTTTTGGATATTTTAAGTCTAAATAAAAATCTAAGGTAAGCAATTAAATAGATAAGTTTTTATCTCAGAAGAGAAATCTAAGCTAAAGATAAACATCTGGGACACATCAGCATATAAATGATATTTTAAAACCATGAAATTGCCTAGGGAAAATATAGAGAATGAGAAGAGGATCCTGGACTCAGTAAGAAGAAGCCAAAGAAGTAGGAAGAAAACCCAGAAGTGAGTGTTATTTTGGGAGGCAAGAGAGCAAAATATTTTAAAAAGGAGGGGATGATCAATTGTCAGATATCTTTGAGAAGCAAAATAAGATGAGGATGAAAAATATTGATTGGATTTGGCACATTGGAGGCTTTGGTAAAATTGACCAAAAAAAGTGTGAATGGAGTGTTGGATGTGGAAGATGGGTTGTAGGTTGAGAAATGATTAGGAGGTGAGGAGGTAGGTACAGGAGAGAATAGAAGTCTCTTAAGCTTAGCAATTAACAGAAGCAGAAAAATGGTATGGTAGCTTGAGTGGGATGTAAGGTTGAGGTTGTTTTTTTTAAAGCTAGGAGACCCTAGAGGTGTTTTAGAGTTTTAAAATGTATTTATTATACGCCAGTGGGAATGAACTCAAATATCAGAATACCAAAACATGTGGTTTGCCTTAAAGACAGTACTCTCTGGAAAAGGGACATGATGTATTTTCAAGTACTGTATAGATCATCCTCTTGGCATATGGTTTTACCTCTCTTAACACTGCTCTGGATGACTGTTGGCAAGGATTTACCTAGAGGTCTGGTGTAACAGAGCTTCCCTCGTAGAGCTCTATCAAAGTTTCTCAAACTTTGGTGTGTGTCAGAATCACTTGGAGAGCTACTAAACATCACTGGAGCTAGGCTCCTTGAAGTAAGATATGGCCAAGGCTTTTTGTATCTTTACTAATTCCTCAAGTGGTTCTCAAACTTTGTCATGCATTAGAATCACATGGGTGGGGTGCTTGTGAAAACATAAATTGCTCTGCCCACTCAGAATTTCTGATTCAGAATTTCTGGTGTGGGACCTCAGATTTTATATTTCTGACAAGTTCCCAGATGATGCTGATGGTGCTGGATGAAAAACCAGAATTTGAAAACCACTGTTCTATACCAGTCAGTCAGGCCTTCAACACTGACATTGGCTTGTCAGTGTTACCACAAATCAAATCAGACTTTTTGGGATTTTCTTTCCTGCTAGGAATTTTTATAACCCTACTTTAGAAAAATCAGAATATCAGGAGACATTTGATTCTGAAGATGACCTAATTAAATATTATATTAAGATCTTTTAGTTACCAACTTATATGCAATGGTGATTCTAGGCTAGAGGGTGGGGAAATTAGAGGGAGAGAGGTCACAGTTTGTTTTAATATTCCACTTATTTTGACCACTCACCCTCTCCACCCCCACCACACATGTAAATCTACTTTGCGAACTTGTGATATAGAGCTTTCCTTTGCTGTTCTAATTTAAATGTGTTAATTGTGCTTTTACATTTATGAGTCAGAATTTCATGATTCATCTCAGTTTTTAATCACTAACAACGAAAGCCATTTTTTATTTGGGATACAGTACTTATTTTTAGTCATTGAACACAATATAGGAGAGTTTACTTTGAAAAGTATTTCAATCTGCTTGAATTGGAAAAAAAATATCTTGCTTAAAACAATACCTTTATGATTACATATTTAGATAATTTTACCAGGCAAAGTATTGCCCAGAGAGAAGAAATCAGCATTCTTGGTGCAACCCTCAACGATCTGGCTAAAGAAAAGGAATGCCTGCAAGCATGTTTGGATAAAAAATCTGAGAATATTGCATCCCTTGGAGAGAGTTTGGCAATGAAAGTATGTTCTTAGAACTGTGGTTTAAAAGAAATGTTTGAACTTGAATCTGAATAAAATAATAGGATTTTCTCAAAATTTTTTTTCTAGAGAGTTAAAACTGTAGAATCTGATTTGGAAATATTTCAAGATAGCCTTGGGAACTATGTGTTCAAGTCTACTAGCTAATATTTTTAAATTGATTTTCTCTCATAAATTTGTGATTAACATTCATGACAATAACTAATTCAAATATCCAAATGTGAAGCATGGTAATAAAGCAGTGAGACTGATTTCTTTTTAAAAGAACACCAGAGCTTATATTTTCAGGCAGCCACCCTAGGAAGCAATATGCCCATTAACACTGCCTTTTGTAATTGTGCTCAAAATTAGGAGCATATTTTTGCATCATCCTCAGCCTTTGAGAATAGATCATATGTAGCTGGTGAATAAAGACGGATGATAATCTCCATCCCACATTTTTTGTTGTTCAAACAATGCTAACACAGGTGTTGCCAAAAAGGCAGGGAAATACTGATACCCTTTTCTATTTCATAAACCAATTCTGAAGACAGTTCCTAAACTGTTTTCCACAAATGATTTAAGCAAAGTCAGCATCATTGGAATAAGGTCTTTTCCCTCTCTAAGGGATCTAATTCATTCATTTATCCATCCATCATCCATGCATTCAACAAACATTTATTGACATGTACCAGGTATAATGTGAGAAACTGAGGATGAGTGGGTATGCCTTCCATAAGGCTACAGTATAATTTGGAGAAAGATAAATTAAGATGCGATCATGATGCAATGTGCTAAGTGCCATAGCAATATGTACATAATGTGCAAATGGAGTTAGGCAGAAACATACCTAATTCAGCCCTGGGGTTGGATTAGGGGAGGAGAAAGATCTAAAGAGCCTTCCAGGAAGTGATGGTGCCTGGACTGCCCTGTGATGACTAGGAATAGCGAGGACAAGATTAGGACAAAGAGGAGAGTCAGAGAAAGGTTGATCCAGACAGGTAAAGCAGCTTCTATGAAAGCCCAGTGGCTTTTATAAGAGAATTTGAAGAGAGGTCAGTATGGGAGCAGGGCTGGGGGCAAAAGATGAGATGGGATGGTTAAACAACAAATCATAGAAATACATCTAATATTTAGACTCTATCATCATGAATATAGAGGATCATTGAAATAATGTAAATGATGTGTCACAATTAGATCTTCATGTTGAAACAAATATTCTGGCACTTGTTAGTCTGTGTAAAGGACAGACTATAGGGAAATGAGAATAGTGACAAGGATACCAGCTACAAGTAAAATGATAAGAATTTTATTAGGATAATGGTAGTATCTGTAAGAGAAATATATCTTTTAAGGAAGATTGACAAGATGTGCTTTCTGACTTAGGAACTACATGAATAGTTCCTATGCATGAACTAGGAAACAAATAAAACAGGCTTAGGACGATTATTGACATGTCTTTGGAACACACAGTTGAAATATTCATAGGCTCTTGGATTTTTAAGTTTGGAGAGAAAGTTGAAGTGAAGTTAATAGATTTGGGAATCATGAGCACAACTGAAATCTTGCTATCCAAGTTCATGAGATAGTAAATTTTGGTTTATTTGTTGAAAAGGCTGACTCATTATAATTATGCCTTAATATTTTTGGTATTTTCTGGGTTTTGGGGAGAGTGGAGTTTTACTTCTGGTTTTATTCAGAACACTTTTTGAAAGTTTGATACAATTTTCTTTAAAAACACTAACTCTTAGAAACAAATTATTTAGAAATTTCTGAATCATTTTCCTCTGCTGTTTCTAATATTTCATGTTTCTTCAATTCTGCTAACTTGCCAACATTATTTTCTTCTTCACAAGGAATATTGAGTTGCAAGTCCATTTCAAAATCAAGAACTTCATATAAGATCATGAATGTAAAAAAAAAAGATCATGAATGTAAACACATCCATCCTTGGAAGGGAAAATAACTTTTTAAAACAGTGTTAGACATTCAAAAGAGGAGATATTCTCTACAATGATATTTCAGAGCTGAATTTATAAATACCCTTCAGTAAAAAGCAGTAATTTTACAGTCTAATCTGGTGATTACATAAACAGATTACTATGGAAAAAGCCTACATTATAGTGTATAAGGGGAAATTTTTTCTGGTAATCATAGTTTTAAAACATGTTTTACTAGTTGCTACCAATTAAAGTTAGAAAACTTGATAGCAAGTTCACATACTTTTGAATAATAAGGGACAGAACTATTTGTATAACATTTTAGTTTGTTTTTTTTCTAAGTAGATTTACGACCAGCCTTTTCACATTGAATTTTTTAATAATTAACTTGAGTCTGTGTCTCTGGATAAGCATATTGAGGTTGTACAAGGAATATTAAATTGATAATAATGGCATAGATTTCAACAGCTTGGGAAATGATGGTATTAGGGTCATATTAACAGAAAAATAGGGTAAGAGGATATATTATTAGATTTTACCCAGTAATTTTATTGTCCGGATGCTTTACAATGTTCTCAGAGAATCTTATTTTCAATATAAATTTCTTCTGATAAAGGAAGTCCTATATAGACTTACAAACCATATTTAAAGTTTAACCAAGTAATGGCTTTCAGAAACACTAGAAGTTCAGTTAGTTTTTTAGAATTTATGTAGAAATGTATTAAGTTATATTTCAAAACCTTGTGTAAATATTCCATTTTAAGCAGTATTTTCTCTTTATTGGCTTGTGCTTCTTAAAGGGGTTTAACTGCTTTGCTAATATGTATTTTAACTATACTCTGATATCCATTACTGCCAGATGTGGACTCTGCACCATTTTACCAGAAAGCAGAATGGGAAACTGGAGCTAAAAATAGCTCAAGAGAAGCACATGAATAAAGGAAGATCACACACACACACACACACACACACCCCTAACTGTCTCTAAAGAACAGGAACAGAACTGGTTGGGAAGTAGGGGTTTTGCTTTTCAGCTTGCTACTTGGTAGCAAGGATTTGAAAATTCAAAGGGCAAGTGAAAATTCAAAGGGCAAATGAAATGTAGTTCTTTAGTGAAAGAATAATTTTCCTACTTTTTTTTTAGGTCTAATGTAGCCCTAAGTATCTGTGTATAGTTATCTGTAACTAGTTCAGGATCAATGAGAGTTTTAAAAGGAGGAGGTATAGGGATGGTATTGATGGCATTAAGATAGTCACACCTTGAGCCTTAACTGATTTCATTAATTCTCCCTTACCACAGCTTTGAAAAGGAAGAATGTCAGTAGTTTTTTATATCTTTGCTCTAGGCCTAATGCTTATCTCTTTATTAGCTCAGACCTAAAATTAATAGTATACTTTTATAAGTAATTCAGTTGGAATAGCTTTTTGAAGATGATGTTGATGACTAATATAAATAACTTACTTGATCAAAGTTATTATTGCTCAGAACTTAAATTAGTGTTACATGATTCACTTTCCTCGGTTTTACAACATGGAGAAGTGAGGAGGTGAATCAATTCTGTTCCCAGAATACTACACTTCAATGCCAAACCACTGGTTTGCCAACAAAAACAGGGTGCTTATGGGGTCTTTCTGTTGCTGGGCAACTACACAAAACATTTTAACAAAGTATTTACTATATTGATCTCATATCAATGCACATAAGTGTAGTCTTTAATAAGCATAATCTTGTTTTTATCCAGTACAAATACACTGACATATATGCTTTAGTTTTTAAACTGTAGAAAAGAAGAAGAGAATGTAAATGTTTAAAACCAAATGGGAATCAAAAAGGGAGGATTTCTTTTTGTTCATTTAGTTTTAAGAGAAATTGTTTAAAATAATTTTTTATTTAATACATTATTTTTCAAGGAAAAGACCATTTCAGGCATGAAGAATATCATTGCTGAGATGGAACAGGCATCAAGGTAAACCAATCACTCAACAAAATTTGAGCACTTACTGGGGGCAAAGTACTATGTTAGGTATAAAGATAGTAGGAGACAAGGGGCTTAGTGTTACATATGAGGTGATAACTTTCTAATATTGAAAGGAGGCATAAGTCTGTCTAGGGAAGTAAAAGAAAATATGGTGTTAGCCAAGTAAAGGTAAAAAGAATAGTAAACCACAGATCATGTTCAAGAGCCTCTTGAGTGGCAAGTAGGTGAGTGTGTTAGAACCCAAAATGTAAGAGAAGTGGTGGAAGGAAGGGCTAACTAGGCAGAGGCCTGTGGTGTAGACAAATGAGTCTTGATTTTATCTTTTGGACAATAAGAAATCATTTTTAAAAAATTGGGGAGATTTTTGTGTTAGAAAGATTACCCAGGCCAAAGAGATGATGATAGATTAGGGCAGATGAGTTGAGAGACAGAGGAGTGAGGTGCTTGTGAGGGGAAGAATCTAGGAGAATGCTAGGTTTTTGGCTGGGGATGAATACTGGACATTATAAAAGTATGTGGAAACACCTGATTTTCCTCTGAATTTGAAGAGCCTTTGAGACTTTCTTGTAAATATGTCTAGTAATCAGTTAAATATGAGTTTGGAGTATTAAGGAAGAGGCTGAGGTAGAGATAAAATTTCAGACTCTTCTGAAGATGGGGCTGGGAGCCATGCTATGAATAGGATTTTCTGAGAGAAGGGGTAGAGTGAGAAGAATCAAGAGAGGCTGAGAGTTAAGCCCTGAGAACCATTAATTTTTAAGAGGACAGAGGACAGAGAATGAGGAACCTGCAAAGAAGACTAAGCTATAGCAGCTAGAGGTAAGATGAAGGCTTTCTTATACTTGAACATCAGAAGTTTTGAAATACTTAGCAAATCATTGACTATTATGTATATTTAGCATCCCTTTTTATAGTGAAATGTGGGCAACACAAACTCCAATGAACTGTATTTAAATTTTAAATGTGTTTAAAATGTCAAATGTTCTCATGCTAAACTGTCCATCTTCTGTCTTATGAGAATTTGTTACTGTTTTTGGTAAAATGTCTCTTTTTATGTACTATCTGATTTGTGGAATAGACAGTCTACCGAAGCCCTAATTATGTGTGAACAAGACATTTCCAGAATGCGTCGGCAATTGGATGAAACAAATGATGAGCTGGCTCAGATTGCCAGGGAAAGAGATATCTTGGCTCATGAGAATGACAATCTCCAAGAACAGTTTTCTAAAGCTAAACAAGAAAACCAGGTATACTTTTACCTAGGATCTTTTTTTCCTCCAAGAAAATTTTTTGTTTTATTCTGAGACACAGTCCTCATTTCATTTTGTAGAAGAGCTCAGGCTTTGGTATCAGCCATTTTTTTTAACCTTTATTACACAGAATATGTCACATAATTTCTAAATGAGATTCTCAGACATAAAATATTAAAGGAGAGAGAGAGTGGTGATATAATAGATTTATATTAAACCTTAGGAAGTACTTTCTTACTTGAGAATAAATATTTGAACAAATCAACAAAGGAAGATAAAAGCCTTCAGAAACTTTTGAGAGAGGGGTAGATTTATTTGATGGACTATTATTCTGTTTAAGTATGAGTGTATGGACTATGCCACATATTTTGTTCCTCTCTAGCATGTGATTCTTTGGGAAATTTTCTTTTATAATTACTCCCTCTTTAAGCCAATATATTTCAGTGTATCCACTCTTTTTATTTCCAATATCATTATTTTAATTTGAACATTAAAAACTTTTTGGAAGCTTTCTTACCCCCCTTAAAATGACTTAATCTAAATGATTCCTCCCACTTGCTGTCACTCTCAGTGTGTTTAGTTTGCATCATGAAAGTCTGTAGTTTTAATTTACATAAACAGATATAAAGCTGCAATGCTTTGTTAATTATAAAAAATTGCGGAGATGTTAAAATACTGTGGTCAAAAGTTATTGAGGGGCACCTGGGTGCCTCAGTCAGTTAAGCGTCCGACTGACTTGATTTTGGCTCAGGTCATGATCTCACAGTGGTGAGATTGAGCCCAGGTGAGATTGAGCACACATCGGGCTCCGCACTCAGCAGGGAGTCTGCTTGAGATTCGCTTTCTCCCTCTCCTTCTGCCCCTCCCCCTGCTCACACTCTCTCTCTCTGAAAATAAATAAATAATTTTTTTTTTTAAAAAGTTAATGAATAATGGGATCTTGGGACAGAAATGAAGTAATTTTACATAAAATATGGACTTTAGTTAGTAATATATCAATATTATTTCATTAATGGTGATAAAGGTACCATACTGATATAAGACACCAAGTGTAGGGTAGATGGGGACTCTCTGTACTATTTTCACAACTTTTCTGTAAATCTAGAACTATTCTAAAAGGTTTTTTTTAAAAAGTTAATGTATAGCAATAAAAACAAAGGTATGAATTTATAGGATCTACTTTTGTGTACTTAGAGCAAATAGGCTAAAGGTAAATGTAACTTAATGTTTATGAAAAACTAGATTAAACACTTTCCTTTTTACCACCCAGAATAGCTACTGTTAACATGGTTTTTTTACTGATTTTCCATGTATTTTAAATACTTCTTGTACTTTTTTTTTTTAAAGATTTTATTTATTTTTTGACAGACAGCAAGAGAGGGAACACAAGCAGTGGGGTAGGAGAGGGAGAAGCGGACTCCATGCTGAGCAGGGAGCCTGATGCAGGGCTCGATCCCAGGACCCAGGATCATGACCTGAGCTGAAGGCAGATGCTTAATGACTGAGCTACCCAGGCGCCCCTGTACTTTTTTTTTTTAAAGATTTTATTTATTTGCCAGAGAGAGAGAGCACAAGCAGAGGGAGTGGCAGGCAGAGGAAAAGGGAGAAGGAGACTCCCCACTGAGCAGGAGCCTGATGTGGGGCTCAATCCCAGGACCCTGGGATCATGACCTGAGCCAAAGGCAGACGCTTAACCGACTGAGCCACCCAAGCACCCCTACTTTTTGTTCTTTTATTTACATGAACTTTTTAATGTAACTGGGATAAAAAACATGCCATTTTAAATCATCCTTTTTTCTACATGATAAGTCAGTAGAGTGGAGTATTTAAGACTCATGAGTTTGAATCTCCTGCCTGTCTGTGTGATCAGACCATTTAACTTCCCTGAATCTCAGTTTATATATGTAAAAAAGGAGAGCAAATGAGAATATGCCTAGAAAGCACTCATCAGAGTGTCCAGCATAATCACTGGATAAATATCTTATAGCTATTATTAGCTTACTGTGACATCATAAGCACTCCCCTGCTTTGTTAAAACTTCATAAACATTTTTTATAATCAGAAAAAATTGTTGTTATAACAATTTACATTTGTTCAATAGTAGTTTTTTCCTTTGAGTTATAGGCCCAAGAAGATGGATCCCTCTGTGGACCACAAGTTTAGAATCCATTTCGTAGAAAATTTGGAAAGCAGAAGCCTTTAAAAAATATCCTCAATACCACAATTTTTAACAAATTGGGATGAAGTATTTTTAGTGTTTTATCCTTACTTTTTCACAAAATATAGATGAACATTTTCCTCTGTTACTAAAAATTATTCTAAATATTTCTCATAGATACATAATGTTGTATGTGGTTATACCACTATGTAGATACTATTATTTACTGCATCATTCACTTAATGTGAATAAATATTGTCACCATAACAAATAATGCCTTAGTGAACATTCTTTATGTTAAATTTTACTAGATTTAGTGTCAAATCAAATCAAAGCTTATGAGGTTTGTTTTATAAATTAAAAAAAAACCTTTCTAAGTGGACATTTTCAAAGGTAGTGAGTACTTATGTATCTATGTCCCACCTTCAACAAGCAACGTAATATCTTTCCTATTTTTTTTGAGCATTTAAAAATGTTTCTTGAAATAGATTATAGATAGATAGCAGATCATAGATTTGCTTTTTGCAAATTTATGTTTACTCCAAGTTACATGGAAATGCTTATTTCTTGCTGTAACAGAATAACTTTAATTCTTCGCTAATTTGTTAGGCAAAATAGTATTTAATTTTAAAAATTATTTAAATTTAAAATTAATATGTAAAAATTTAACATTTTAAAAAATTAAAAACTTTTTTTGATTACTAGTAAGTTTTAACTTTTTTCAAGTATTATCTACTTGTGCTTCCTTTTTGTGAATTGTCTGCTTGGGTTCTTCGCTCATTTCCTATTTCGATTTTTGTGTTTTTTGTTTTGTTTTTTCCCTAGTGGGATGTTGGGCCTCATGTCTCTCATATCCCACAGCCTCACCCAGATTTATTCACATGGTAATAGTTGCAGTATTTCCAAAAGCAGCAAACAGAAAGTCCCAATAAATAAATAATTTTCAAGCCTATATTTGTATTATATTGTTTATTGTTCCATTAGCCAAACAAATTGTGAAGGCAAATTTAGATAGAGGTGTGGTTAATGGACTTTGACTCACTGGAAGGAGTTGCAAGGTCTTAAGGCAAAGAGTATGATATTAAGAGGCATGAGGATTTTGGGTTTTGGGGTTTTTATGAGTTTTGTATATTAGGTATATTAACTTTTATTTATCATTATTACAAACATTTAAAATTTATGGTGGTTTTTGACATAGAGCAATTTTTTACTTTTTTGTAGTCAAGTTTAGCTATCTTTTTCTTATAGGCCCTGTCTAAAAAATTGAATGATACGCACAATGAACTTAATGACATAAAGCAGAAGGTCCAAGATACTAATTTGGAGGTTAACAAGCTGAAGAATATATTAAAATCTGAAGTATGTATATAATTTTTTCCTTTTTGCTCATAATACCTAAGAGATCTTGCTAAAGTTATTGATCATAGGGACAGCTGAATCAAGTCTTTCCTTAATATATAGCATATTCTCGTGTTGACAGTGATGGGTTGACTCTATATTTAGGATGTCACCAATGTCCAGAAAGGTAACTCAAGAATATGTCACTTTTAGTTTGCCACTCAGCCATTCTAGATAAGTATAATCCTGCTAATTGGATGAAGGACAAAGGATAAGAATCACTTGTATTTGAAAAATGGTGGTTTTCAGTTTATAAACCTTTGACAAAAGAGGCTCCACCTGATTGTGTAGCAGATCAGAATTGATCACCTTGTTATGGGGCCATCTATTTCTTAGGACCTGAGAGTAGATGGCTCTGCTCTGTACTTCTCTGTTAGTAACCATTTGACCAGACACCTGTACCATACATCAGATAATACCAAATAAATCTGGGTATATGTGTGGCAACCCTGGAATAGACAGCTTGACCAAGGATGTTAGGTAAGCCCATTTGGTAAAATATTATCTAAAATACTGTAGTTGGGAGAGGGAGGCAAGATGGCTGAAGAGTAGGGGACCTCGTTTCATCTGGTCCCTTGAATTTAGCTAGATAACTGTCAGATCATTCTGAACACCTATGAATTCAACCTGAGATGTAAGAAAAGAATTTCTGGAATTCTACAAATAGAAAAGCAACCACTTTTTTTAAGGAAGAGGTGCGGAGAAGTGAATCTGAGGAGATATATGGTACGATAAACGGTCAGGGGGAGGGAGCCTCTATAAACTGGCTACCAGAAAATGATATAGCCCCAGAATGCAAAATTGGAACTTTTAGAAGTCTGCCCCACTGAGAGATGCCCCTGCCTGAAAGGTGCTCAGGTGGGAAAGTGGAGCAGAATCCTAGATGGGATAGTGTGGTCTCAGGATCCCTGGGGTCACAGAATGGGGGTACCTTAGCTGGCAGAGTTCCCAAGCATTGGAGTGGGGAAACTGGCTCTGGTTAGTGAGCCCGGGAGTGGGCTTGCAGCTCGGTTTGCCATAAACCACAAACTGGCAGGATGGGGCAACCACTCTTCATGCAGGGGTCCTGCAAGTGGCAGGCCTGTGGCGACCCTCCCTTCCACAGGAGAATTGGTATGGGTGCACACAGCAGGAGTCTGCAGAGGTTGGTGCACTGAAAAGTGAAGATTGCTTTTCCCTGAGGGTTTAATGAAGAGAGGGGGCCACCATCTTTCAGCTCCAGGGCTGGAGATCAGGGCACTGCCATTTTTATTTTCATCCTCTGAAGTGGCACAGAAAGCTTTCAGGGAACAAAAGCCACATAGAAGAACCCAAAGCAGCTTACACTGAGCCCAGCCCCCTGGCAAAGGGTGGTGCAACTCTGCTCAGGCAAAGACACCTGAAAATCAGCACAGCAGGCCCCTCCCCCAGATGACCAGCTATAACATAAGGGGAATATCAAGTTTACCAAGCACACAGAACTGCAGAACTCCAATGCTAGGGGAAAATATATAGAATTTGAGGGCTTTTTCCTCATGATTCTTTTATCTTTCAATTTAAAATTTTTTCCTTTTTTCTTTTTTTCCTTTTCAACTAGTTTCTTATTTTATCAACTCTTTGTTTCTAAGTCTTCTTTAACTTTCATTTTTACATTTATATTTTATAGATATATTCTTCATTTTTGTCTTCCTTTCATTGTATTCAATTTTATTTTTGTATATATATATAAATTTGCTTTCTTTACAATTTTGGGATTTATTGTCTTCTAACAAACAGGCCAAAATACACCTAGGACAAAGTGAATCACCCTGTTTTATCCACCTGGGATTTTATATTCTCTCCCTCCCGCCCTTTTTTTTTTCTTTTTTGGATTCTGACCTCTTTGGTTATGTCTAGTGTGTATTTTGCTTGGGTCGTGGTTGATATTTTTTATTTTGTTCTCTTCATCCATTCTTCTCTGGGCAAAATGACTAGGAGGAATTCAAAACAAAGGAAAGAACCAGAGGTAATACTCTCTGCCACATATCTAATCGATATGGATATAAGTAAAATGTCAGAGCTGGAATTCAGGATAACGATTATAAAGTTACTAGCTGGGTTTGAAAAAAGCATAAAAGACACTAGAGAATCTCTTTGTGCAGAAATAAAATCTAATCAAGCCAAAGTGAAAAATACTTTAACTGAGGTGCAGTCTAAATTGGTTGCTCTAACAGCTAAGGTAAATGAGGCAGAAAAGAGAGTCAGTGACATAGAAGACAAGATAATGGAAAGGAAGGAAGCTGAGGAAAAGAGAGAAAAACAGCTAATGGACCATGAGGGAAGACTTTGAAAAATCAGCAATACCATAAAGCGAAACAATATTAGAATTATTGGGGTCCCAGAGGAAGAAGAAAGAGAGAGAGAGATGGACAGAAGGTATATTTATCAAATCATAGCTGAGAACTTCCCTAATTTGGGGAAGGAAACAGGCATTCAAGTCCAAGAGGTAGAGAGAATGCCCCCCAAAATCAATAAAAATAGATCAACACCCCAACATATAATAGTGAAGCTCGCAAATTTCAGAAATAAAGAGAAAATCCTGAAAGTAGCTTGAGGCAAGAGCTCCTTAACCTACAATGGTAGAAACAGTAGACTGGCAGCAGACCTAGCCACAGAGACCTGGCAGGCCAGAAAGGGCTGGCATAATAAATTCAGGGTAATGAGAAAAACATGCAGTCAAGAATACTTTATCCAGCAAGGCTGTCATTCAGAATGGAAGGAGAGATAAAGAGCTTCCAGGATAAACAGAAACTAAAAGAATTTGTGATCACTAAACCAGTCCTGCAAGAAATATTAAAGGGGATCCTGTAAGTGAAGAGGAGAGCCCAAAAGTAACATAGACCAGAAAGAAACAGACAATCTACAGAAACGGGATTTACAGGTAATACAATGGCACTAAATTCATATCTTTCAATAGTTACTCTGAATATAAATGGGCTAAATGCTTGAATCAAAAGACACAGGGTATCAGATTGGATAAAAAAGCAAGACCCATCCATATGCTGTCTACGAGAGACTCATTTTAGACCTAAAGACATCTCCAGATTTAAAGTGAAGGGGTGGAGAACCGTTTATCATGCCAATGGACATCAAAAGAGAGCTGAGCATATCAGACAAATTAGATTTAAAATCAAAGACTGTAGTAAGGGACGAAGAGGAATACTTCATCTTACTTAAAGGGTCTATCCAACAAGAAGATCTAACAATTATAAATATTTATGCTCCTAATTTGGGAGCAGCCAGTCACGTAAACCAATTAATAACCAAATTAAATAAACACATTGATAATAATACAATAATAGTACACCCCACTCACAGCAATGGGCAGATCACCTAAGCAGAAGATCAACAAGGAAACAAGGGCTTTGAATGACACGCTGGACCAGATGGACTTCACAGATATATCCAGAGCATTTCATCCTAAAGCAGCAGAATACACATTCTTCTCAAGTGCACATGGAACATTCTCCAGAATAGATCACATCCTGGATCACAAATCAGGTCTCAACCGGTACCAAAAGATTGGGATTATTCCCTGCCTATTTTCAGACCACAATGCTTTGAAACTGGAACTCAATCACAAGAGGAAATTTGGAAAGACTCAAACACTTGGAGGTTAAAGAGCATCCTACTAAAGAATGAATGGGTCAACCAGGAAATTAAAGAAGAATTTAAAAAATTCATGGAAACAAATGAAAATGAAAATACAACTGTTCAAAACCTTTGGGATACAGCAAAGGTGGTCCTAAGAGGAAGTACATAGCAATACAAGCTTTTCTCAAGAAATTAGAAAAGTCTCAAGTACACAAGTTAACCTTACACCTGACAGAGCTAGCGAAAGTACAGCAAATAAAGCCTAAACCAAGCCGGAGAAGGGTAACAATAAAGATTAGAGCAGAAATCAGTGAAATAGAAACCAAAAGAACAGTAGAACAGATCAATGAAACTAGAAGCTAGTTCTTTGAAAGAATTAATATGATCGATAAACCCCTACCAGACTTATCAAAAACAAAAGAGAAAGGACCCAAATAAATAAAATCATGAATGAAAGAGGAGAGATCATGACCAACACCAAGGAAATACAAACAATTTTAAGAACATATAAACAACTATATGCCAACTAATTAGGCAATCTGGAAGAAATGGACACATTCCTGGAAACATATAAACTACTAAAACTGAAACAGGAAGAAATAGAAAACCTGAACAGACTGCTAAACAGCAAGGAAATTGAAGCAGTAATCAAACATCTCCCAGCAAACAAGAGTCTAGGAATGCAAGGCTTTCCAGGGGAATTCTACCAAACTATTTAAAGAACTGAAACCTAGGGCGCCTGGGTGGCTCAGATGGTTAAGCGTCTGCCTTCGGCTCAGGTCATGATCCCAGGGTCCTGGGATCGAGTCCCGCATCGGGCTTCCCGCTCCTTGGGAGCCTGCTTCTCCCTCTGTTTCTCTCTGTCTCTCATGAATAAATAAATAAAATCTTAAAAAAAAAAAAAAAAAGAACTGATACCTATTCTTCTGAAACTGTTTCAATAAATAGAAATGGAAGGAAAACTTTCATACTCCTTCTATGAGGTCAGCATTACCTTGATCCCAAAACCAAAGACCCCACCAAAAAGGAGAATTACAGACCAATATCCCTGATGAACATGGATGCAAAAATTCTCACCAAGATACTAGCCAATAGGCTCCAACACTACATTAAAAGGATTATTCAGCATGACCAAGTGGGATTTATTCCTGGGCAGCAAGGGTGGTTCAACATTCACAAATCAATCAATGTGAATACATTACATTAATAAAAGAAAGGATAAGAACCATATGGTCCTCTCAGTTGACGCAGAAAAAGCATTTGACAAAATATAGCATGCTTTCTTGATTAAAACTCTTCAGAGTATAGGGATAGAGGGAACATACCTCAATACCATAAAAGCCATATAC